AGCTGCGTGCACCCAATTGCTCCTAGAGGTTTTGTATGGAAATAGTTTGTGTGGCGCATCCCAAGGAATGGCAATGCCGATGGGCATCTCACGGCTTTGATCCTGTCTCCACGTTTATTCATCGATATTCCTAGTAGTTCGGATACTAATCATTTGTCCTGTATGCCTTCATTTCTAATGAGGGACCTATTCCCTCGTTGTTTCTCATTCAGTAAATGACGGCAGAGGAAAGGAAAGTCACTTGAGACCGCGTTCAACTTTTCGAGACGCGAGGCAAGACGAGTGGCCATCGGCCGCTACCATACTGTTTTTGGACTGATATAAGCTTAAACATCCCATCATTTATTCACTTGCGATCGGTAATGCGAAATAAGACGACGCAGTTCTACTTCCAGAGGGACCTGCAAAATCTTGAGCATCTATATAATGATGAAGGCTTCCACTCGTGTACCACGGAGTGGGAATCGTGGCCGAAGCCTAGCGGGAAAGGAGCTCTGGGATGGGATGACTGACTTGTGCGAAAAATGGCGTGAAAATGGGGCTCGTAACACGCTGTATTTCATAGAAGTTCCCAGGCGTTTTTCAAAAATATCTCTCCCCCAGCCGAAATGCACCTGGAAAGCCTATGATACTTTACCATTCTTGTTCTCCCTCCTTAACATTGGGACCTCATGGAAAAACTGACTGAGCAAGGCACATCAGCTCAATGACTGTGAAATTGGGGGAGTGCCCTCCGAGCCCCCCCCCCTTCTTTGGGGCGGTCAGAAGAGGAATACGACCCCTCTCCTCTTTACAGCGTCCCCGAAGCAAGAAAAATCAAATGAAAAATTTCCCTCGGCCCAAGTACGACTCGCATCCTCAGCCAACGGCCAATTACGACCCCCTTGTGTGGAGTCCCCAACAGCGAGTGCCTTGTTTCTGGAACATCCACGTCGTAGGCATCACATCACGTCAGACCAGCAGTCTTAGTATTCACGGAGATTTAGGGTACATTTTCGTATTATTCTCGGGTCGATTTTCGCAAAGATGTAAATTGTGTCGATCGAGAAGAATTTCAAAATCCTTCGTAAGTTACTGCAGAGCTCGTGAAACTGAGGTATACGTACCCGCAATAGACACTAAAACCACGAAATCACGAAAAGAACGATCGGAACGCAGGCCCAAATGAAGGTTGCGAGAGCCTCACTCGGCAGAAAGAAAAAAGTCAGCCTCGCAATTACAGGTTATTGGTAGACGCGACAAAGAAGATACGCGAGAACTCTCAAAAAATTTTTCTAACCGCTCGAGGCGTTCTGGTTCTTCAGAGGGATTTTCTGTGGTTATACAACGCTTGGTATATAGGAAAATCAGCCTTGCATAGTAGCTCTTGAATTGACCACTTCATCTGCGGATTCGCAGAGAAACATTCCACGCTAGTCGTTCGGTCGGAGTTAGATGATCAGTGCTCTTCTCCCCATTGGTTCTCCATGTAATCTCAGACGAGGAAGCCTATCAAGGAGAGCTACAAGTGACTCCTCCTTGTAACTAGCAAGGTCCCTTTAATCTCTCCAAATGTCCACCATCTCTTGCTTTTTCTTGATTGCGATCACTTGAAAAACCACACAGTGCTTATATTGTAGTAAATCCATTTTTTCAGATGCTTCGCACCTTCGCCCTTTTGGTGACCCTTCTGCCTCTTTGTCACTGCCTTTTTGGTATCGGTAGACTGCAGTCAGTTGCAGTTAAGGGCAAACTTGTATGCAATAACATTCCGGCATCAAAAGTCAAAGTGAAACTATACGAAAAAGAAGTCTGTGAGTTCATTCACTTGATAGGTCACTCTTCGGATGAAACCGAAATAGCGAAATGAATAACTCATGATTTTGTGCTCACGCAGAAGCGTTTTCCAGTTAGAAACTAGCTGCCTACAAAAAGTTGTTCAAGCTATAAATATAGCTGAGTAATTGCAGTTATCGACAAGAAAATGGATGAAGCACGAACGGACCTCGACGGGCAAGTTCCGCCTATCAGGATCAAAACGAGAGATCACCACCATTGATCCAAAAGTCAACATATACCACAAATGCGGTTACAGTGGGGTAAGCAGGTGTTACGTAGAAGCACTTGTTCATCTGATGTTATTATGGGTAATGTAGAGCGAAGAATGTTGGAGAAATTATTTAGTGCCCTTTGTTGAATTTCAATAGCGGGTAAGTCTTTCGAAGCGGCATGCACATCATTTATTTCATTTATTTATCCGTTTATTCAGTGCAGGACATGCCTCTACAATTATCAAACTTTTTAAATGCAACGTAATACTTGTGCAATTTCAAATTAACGGACATGTGACGATAAGACCACGCGGCGTCGCGCGCAACAATTGCAATACTGTAGGGTTACTATCGGCGCGCTCGCGGTGGTTTTGCTATTGCGGCAGTGACATTTCGCTGTTATTTTTTCTACAAGACAGTCCGTCGTACCTCCACAAAACGACAACAGGATAGTCTCTGAAGGTGAGCTGTATAGAAAGCATTGTGACAGTCAACTGATTAGGGATCAGCGTGTAACCCAAATTAATTCGTGGTGAGATTGTATGCATTCCCATAGTTGCTATGTAATCGCTCCGATTATGCAAATTAACGAAATTTAATGGTCATGACCATTCAAGTCCTAGCAGAGAGAACAGCGTGATTGAAAACTGAAGCAAACACTCTAATTTTATCGCAGTGAGTTCGTCGCGAACGTGCGTGCGTCGTTGCGTGGTCCTAAATACCGTCTTCCTATGAAATGCACAGCTGATTGTGGTTGTATAACGGGAAATGCAGCGCCAAGAATATTGCGGAAGGCGTAATGCCATTCGTCTTCTCCATCGCTG